CCCCGGGAAGGGCGAGAGATGTGTCTCAGGGCCGCTGCCAGTTAGATCAGAGCTGGAATTAGCCCCAAATCTCAGTCCTGGGAGCCAGCCAACTGCTATTCTGGGTCCAGAACAAACCCAGGCTCGTGAGTCCTACAGTCGCTGAGTTAGGCGGCAACGTTTTGTCTGATGCTGCCGGCCGCTGCCTCCTAGGGACACACAGCGGAACCACCTTCTGCACCCTGACTCTCCCGGCCGGGTCCAGCCAGAGACCCTCGCCGGCCGCCGAGCCTCTCTGTGTCCTTTCCCCGCCTAGAATTAGCGTGGGACTGCAGGTCTCTGAGAAACAACCCAGTTCTGAAAACCCCGCTTTCGCCTCCCGTTTTATGCTGCCTTTTGGGAGTTTGCAAGTTCCGCTAGGTGGCAGTATCCCCCCATCACACTCTCGAAGGATTTCCTGATGGAAGCCGGAGAACAGAAAATTTCAAAGAAACTTTCTTTCCGCCCCACAATGAACATTTAAAAAAAATAAAAGCCAAAGATGAAGTTAACTACAAAGGCCAGTGGCCCACATACTTCATAAAGATCTACACCCGTTTCAATGTGTCGTCCAACACCACAGTCGGTGTTAACACCAGGTGAAGTCCGCTCATTGCCGTGCATTCTACAGTTTACTTCAGCTGGACCCCGGCTGGCTAATAAGCGGCTTCCCTCAAGCAAACTGGTAGCACATTAAGGTAGGATACAATCTAATGTCAAGAAAAACATCTGTAACATTTAAATCAGTATTAGATGCATTTCAAAGTGACCTCTAAGTTACCCACAGTATGTCCTGAGCGTCTTGTCAGTGCTCTGGGCGCTTAAGCAGATGACGTGTGAATGAAACAGAGTCCTTGGGTTTTTGCATCTATTTGTCAGATCCTTGAATGAAGGTTCTTTCAAATAGACTTTATGACATCATCACACTTTAAAAATGATTGCCCCAAACTGGCCTTTTCATGAGCACTGCATGATAAATGTCAGTTCCAACACTTTTATAGGAGTCCACAGACTAGCCGCCAACCCTGACGCTGAGCTCTCTCCTGGGCCGGAGCCAGGGAAACTGCCCTAAATGCTCCCTCATCTGGAATCTCTGACACTGCCTGCAAGACAGTTCCCAGGTGTCCCGCCAGTGCCAGGGGGGCTGATTAACTAGGCTTTTCTGCAGCTGATAAATAGGGTACATTTCCCCCTATCAGTTTCTGGTTAATTACGTATATGCCCTGTTTTCCTCCAAAGTTTCCTTGAACCAACCAACCAACCAACCAACCAAAAAACCCAAGTCCTAAAAATATTCAACGACAGCACAAAAATCGACAGGTTGCTTTTCCTGCCCTCCCTCTGGCACAG